GAAGTGGTTTCCACGCCAAAAAAAATGCTTTAAAGGTATTTTCTCGTTTATTAAGATCGTAGTAATGTTTTAAAAACGTTTAAAAGAAAAGTCCAGAAAGTTCAGAAATACCGAAACTATAAACACGAAATGACAGGTTAAATCGTAGTTATAATAGTCAATCAGCTGCTCATAGTATTATTATCTTTAAGTGTTGCCAACCTATTTCCAAGCGTACACGGATTACGTGTATAATATAACCACGCTGTTTTGTGTTGTTTCGTTGGAATCCTGATGTGCGGCAAAGTATAAACCGTACGGCAAAGTATAAATATGCAGCAATTAGCAGCTTTCTGTACTGTAAACAGTACAAGGGAGCCAACTTTGTCGGGTGACTGTAGGAAAAATATTGTACGTAACCCCCTGTATATTGTCGGGTCAAGTAAAATCTTGTACGTTACACGTTACGCAAGAGCGTGTTTACATCATTTATAGGTGAATTATGCTACTCGCTTCCGCTCGTTGCACAACATTCACCTGCATGATGTAATAACGCTCTTACTACACTTGTAAGGTAATTGCTATTTACCTTACAAGTTTAGTTAGAGCGTTTTGAGTGTATACATTCTCATTCTAATGTATACCGGTACATCCCTACATAATTATGCCATATTTCATTAAATATACATTTATTTATATATATCCCTAAACATAAAATGTTGAACGAATAGTGTTTTTGGATTTTGGGGACATCAAATTGATAAATCAAATCGGTCCCGGGTCTGTAGGTCTTAACCGTGCCACCTACACGCAAGCTGTTTCCCTCCTATATGGGAATTCGTTAATAAGGATAGCCTATGTGCCACTACACCATTTGAAACGAGGGATTAAATTTCAATTAGCTCAAAAGGTATGGTTCAGGTACATGAGAGGTGTATAAAGCTCTGGAGTAAAGTTTTAAATATAAACAAATTGACCGAGCTGCCCCGATAGTTACACAAATTTAGATCTAAAGCAATGTCTGAGTGTTAACTACTACTAGGCTACTGTAGCTGATTAGGTCTGGAACGTACGTTCTCGTTCTTCGTGACGTTCCAATCCAGAGAGCTGAAACCACAGACAATGGAATAAACCTTAAAAAGAACATTAAAAAAATAAACATTAAAGTATTATATTGTTTGTGGCTGAAACCCTACTGGACTGAGGCTGTTTTAGGACTTAGTCCTCTTCAGCCATATCTGGAACGTATTCGCCTTATTTACTGTCCGACTGTCCCTTCCGCTTACTTTACACTTCCTTGCCATTTTGGGATGATTATCAACAAACGAAATAAAATTCCGCGAGTTCCACTAGTGAAAATTAAATCCGGAACATATGAAACGAGTAAAGCTAGTATGAGACGGTAAACAGTAAACATACAACTCTTACTTCCAGTTATCCGGAAGCTTACAACGCTAACAAGACATAATAAACGGTAGGCCTAAAGATATATTAATACAATTATGCCATTGAGTGACGAACTACAATACAATAACTGTGGAAAGATTATTATGTAATCAAATGTTGATGTTTTCTGCTAAGTTTTTTTAGTGGCTCAACGTGGTTCACTCGTTTACTGGGATCAGTTACCTTCCAACCAATCCATCCATGGTCCCCAACTGTATTTCACAACAACTACTTAAATTGCAATCAAGGCCAACGAACCCCAACACAATCAATCAAACGTGTCATGGGAATGCAGAAAATATCTAGCCTATAGTATATTTTTTACACTGTGTGTAATCCAAGTTTTAAAGATGCATTAAAATGAACTATTTCTGTCAAAGATGTTCCTCCCCACGTCCTCTGACCGGAAGTAGCTCGCCGTCAGCCGCAGTACAGAAGTGGAAGTAAGGGCCAGCTGGACATAAAGGGTGAAGTTGCCAGATGGCATCCGAATACAACTTGCTCGTGTCCAATCATAGATAGATGTAGCCTATCATTTCCGTCCTACTGACTATAGTACGTGATGAGCTGATCTTGTCCTGGCGAGTGGCTTGGGCCGTCAAGACCGTAGACCTACCAATATAGTCTATGTACGGTAGGCCTACCTCTAGTTTCATACGATTTGATTTTAAATCAAACTTAACTCAATTGAACATCAACCCAGACAATTTGCTTATAAAAAGCAAAGACAGTTAAATAACAGTGATAATGGTGCGATGGTGTCAAGTATTTATCATAATATCCTGACATTTCAGACGTTTCCAATAGATATATGTAGGCCTAAAAAGTATCTCACGTCTGCCTTGTTAAAACAATCGGGTTTAATGATATTGCAAAACAATAATTAGGTACTTTACTAGCTTATTGGACAGTTTTATCAACAATGTCTTGAATCATAACAACGGCAATACTGTAAATACCCCCGCCGCAGCAAACCGACAGACTAAGCGAATTTTCACTTGCCTACAGTAAAGTGTTTTTTTAGTAAACTATTAATATCTATCTTCTATATAAATAAAATTAAAGTTTTGTCTGTACATTATTGCTCAGAGTCATAAATATTTTTAGGTTATATTTACGTTTTATACATTAAAGAAACCGAAACCAGTCTCATCTCAATTTCTGTCTGTCTGTCACGGACCAAGAGCCATTTTACGTGGCCTTCTCCTGGAAAACGAGATTATCTATCAAGATTCAAACAAATTAATTTATTTAAAACTAAATAAACAGGTACTAATGTGTTTATAATGTTTTCAATTGTTTATATATATATTCGTATTAGCGAATTTCCCTATAGGGAAGTAGCTATTACCGTAGGTCTCATGGTAAGACCTAGGCCCGGGACCGATTTACTTTTTCATTTTGATGTCCACAGATGTAAAGATTAAAATGTTTCTATTTGGTGTCCTCTTCCCGTTGCAAAGCACGGGTACAACAGCTAGTATATATATATATGTGTGTGTGTGTGTGTCCATCCGCACTATAACTTGAGTATTTTTTGTGCGATTTTGATAAAATTTGGTTTGAAGGTGTGTGGTGGGATAACTTGAATGAGTTCGCGAACCAGCATGATCGGACTATGGGAACGGGGGTTTATGGGGGGTTTTATGGGGTAAAAATAGGTTTTTCCCATTTTTGACCATATAAACACAAAATTTCAGAATTTCTTTTTAAACCATTTTGTAGAGCTTAAAAAACAAATAATTTAGTATATTGAAGCGTTATTATGCGCCTAATTGTTACGGAGAAAATTAAAAAAAAATGTAATCTTAAAATTCCCATGTTATTCTTATGGAGAATAAGTCAACTGTTGTAGTTTGCTTGTTTATGAACATATTTTGATCATATTTGGAAAATGCATTAATTTCTTACTAAACCACAGTACCTTTTAACAATTTACATTTTAAAAAACCTTTTTACCCTCCCTGTTGCAGCAAACCTACTGCCTACTGATACCAAAAGTACTCATTAAACTAATTCTGTTTGAATAGGGAATAAATGTGATATTTTTAAGGAGCCTTTTAGTTTAAATCCAATCAGGCAAATGGAAATTCGCTAAGTCTGCAGGTTTGCTGCGGTGGGGGTATTTATATATTACATTATTATATTCATACGATATCACCTTCAAACATTAGTTTGTTAAAGATTTTGTCAACGTTCTGTTGTTTTCTTTATTTTCTTAATTTTAGTTTATGTACTTTCCTTAAAACACTTAGCATAAGAAAAGTCCATAAACTTATTAACCATCGTTGTTTGCAATATCTTACATATTTTTTATTTCCTGACCACTGTCTGTAGAAATAACAATTCGGATTGTTATATTTTGAGTGAAGACCTAAATCTTAAAATTTATTATACAAAATTATTCAATGGGAGTGGTATCAACATCATTAACACAACACGAATGCTCGCCAAACCATAACCAATGATCCTTATTTGGAAGTACAGAAGTTAGTTGCTATAACAATGCTGTAGATAATATATTCTTTTCGTTCAAAGCTGTGGTTTCCTGCTACCTCGCACTTCCCCGGCTACAGATCAAGGCAGCCGACTGACGTTTAGCCAATGCAACAATTTTCACAGAAAAACAGAACACTATTGAATCTGTTAACTAGTTAAGTTAGTATCTTAAGTCTATGGCATTACTGCCACTTGTGCTCAAAACAACACATCTTGGGACCTCAGAAGTCTAAATGAAGTATTTTCAAGTTATTTTGTTTTGTCAGCGTGTAGTTTGTACACATTTATCAAAACAAACATTATAATGATATTTCTCGAGTCGTTCTTGAGTGCCTTAAATATCAAGTATACCACCATCATAACGACAACCTTAGCAAATTTACAGTAATGCACCAAATTAGTAAAGAATGAAACCCCAATTTAAAAATTATGATCTAACAAATTGTTACTTTATTACAAATTTTAAACGTAATTTTGAAGACAAGAAGACGAGAAATGTGTATGATATTTACGTACGTGTGCGATCAAGTGCACTTCCACTGTAGAACCAACAAATTGAGATTGGGCTGTAGAATTTTCCGCAACAACAGTTTCTCATGAATTTCACATATAGGCTAAAGGCTTGAAATGCTATAAAAAAGTCTTACGTTTCAAAAGTACCAATGACTATTATTTGACACATTTTTTATTGTACTCATCCCTCAAATACTTAAAAATGATGTTAAAGTATTTAATTTTCCTTATCAATTTTTAAGTTCAACATATGGATCAATTTCTCACGATGGTAAACAAATATGTTGTTTTTTAGGTTGAAAAAAAAAACAGAAAGCGTTGAATTTTAAATAACGAACACAGCAAAAAATGACTCCTCGTCGCCAGGGCTAAAACCGAGCTTTTTGCATATTTTCAGACCTTGGCGCTCTTTGTACGATGTTATAGAGACATGCAAAAAGTTCTCGACGAGTAAAGGGGTGAGTGCGGAGGGGAAGGGTCACGCCTCCTGCTAGGGGGGGGGGGGGCGCCGCGGCGACAGCGACACGACAGTCAGCTGTGAGCGTCGCTCGTGATATGGTCTGGTCACCGATCACCGATGGACTACCCTGGCGACGCTAGCTCTAGTACCGGCACAGTGACTACACCACCGCCACCCCTTCACAACGCAGCCCCCAAGATACTGTCTAGGAACACCAACGGCACCTGTGAGTAACATACTTGCGTTATTATCTGTACTGTGAGCCGTGATACCGTACGCTTCTATAAAAGGTGGACTTGGCAGAAGATTGTATGCAAGTGTATGCCTAATGGCCTTCAAAACTAACAATAACAACTACCTTGTCAAGTACAAAAAACTCAAAACAATTTTTGTAACATCTAAAACAACTGTTGATACATTCAGCTTCTATAAAGCCCTGAATAAAATCAAATTACTGCTTTGAACTATTTACTATTTATAGCACGCTGCGCGTGAAAAAAAAAACATAAAAAACATGTGTTTATAAACACGTACATTTAATCATTAATCAACACACAGAAGTTATCACGCAAATGTTATTAAAAACCACACAAGATTAAAACGGTACTTGAAATCCAAAATTATTCCAAAGTCCGTTTTTTGTCAAATGTGCAAGGAAACACTATTATCTACTATAGTGAACCAGCTATGAATACACAGTTTAATTCGCTTAAGTAGCTCAATAGTTCACTTTAGGAAGCTGGATTGCTTTCCAAACTCGAGACGTGAGTGCTTGGAAAACGTGTTTGTAATAGTTCGTTGGTTTGTAGGCGTGCGATCGCTGTTTTATTCATCCTCAAAAATAACAAATCTAAATCAACTGGATAATATAAGAAAATCCCACATATATATAACTAAAACGGGAAAATAAAACATTGAAGATTAAAGGTTTTACAATGGAATAAAAGTTAATTTAACCCGAATTTACCGTGAGTCTGTACTTGGAAAAAGAGTTCTTATCCACATAAATACCTAACATCTGATACGTATACCATTACGTACATAACAAAATCATATAAAACCATAAATATTTTAATTTTTTTAGAACAGGGTTTTGTTGCCAGCAATTATCATTCATAAAACTAAAAACATGGATTAATTGTCATTACCATTGTGGCTAAAACCTATTGAACCTATTGATATGTGTTATATTTTTAACTATGAAAATCACTAGCTGATTAATTAACATCGTCCCTAAATCACTAATGTTGATAATGCAATTGCTGTAATTATAAAACAGCTTAAAACATTCTAGGGCGATTCATACAAATACGTTTTTAGGAATAACCATGGCCTGCACAACCTTTATCACAAATAAACATTATGTTAGACAGGACGATCGAGTTTGTTTATTTGCGACAGATATGTTTATTTAAATAGGTCAATGCTCCGTCAGTAATTATTTATTAAAAAACAATTAAAAGAAAAGCTCGACAACCTCGGCGTTTGGGCGTTCCCTTGCGAATCATTCGAAAAATACTTTACATACAAAACCACCCTCATCAAATTCAGATCAGACTTTACGCATAAATACAATAGGGCTTAATTCTATAACGTTTCTGCCTAAAATGATATCTGGGCACTTAAAGATAATGTTTTAAGCCTCTTTTGCGTAATGTATGTAAAATTATATAGTAAAATTGTATATACAAACCTTGTTTAACAATTTCTTTATAAATTATAATTTAAAATGTGCCATACAATTATCTATAATGTAAGCTTCTGCATGTAAAGTAGGGCTATACATTTATTGATACTACTTGAGTTAATCGATACTTAAGTAGGTAGACTTAGGCTAAGTTTATCGATTTTTAATTAATCTATATCACTCCATTTATAAATCAATTAATTTTTTTTATTAACTTGTATACAGTTTAAATTATTTAATAGTCATAAAAAAGGCTACAACTCATTAAAAGTATAATTATTTACAACTGCATTACAACAAGCAGTCTACCTCTTACGACAAAGGTTTTAAACATTTTATTCACTAACCCCGGGGGGACGACGCCGGTTTCCAAAATCATGAAAATCCCTTACAACATTCAGGACGGTTCTTTGCACTGTTAATTGTATGTGACCTTGTTTTAGCACCTAGACTGGTAATGAGGAATTAAATGATGACTACAACCATTTGACAAAAATATTTTATTAACAGTTTTCATTTAATTTGTAATTATTAGACCTAACAATTAATAATTTTTGACGTAGCTAATGCATTTTGCGTTAATTTAGCTCTATAAAAGACTTATCACTCCACTGTGTTCACCCGTGATATAACATTGTAAAAATTATAGTACAGTTACAGTAGTAGTTGTACACGAACCGTTATAGGTTCCTAGCAGAGTACCCGTCCTTCGTACGGGGTTGGCATATAAGTGTAAAATGCTTATTGCAGTTATACTCTAACTTAGCGTTTGTAATTCTGAGAGGACACAGTTTGATAACATTTGCTTCTTTAAATTTACGGTACACAATAGTATTACACATCTACCATAGCCATAGTGTTCTACCACTTCACCTAAACAATAGAGAAAAAATATTAAAAATTCGCAAAATATCACAAATTATTCATGAAATTAAAAACATAAACATAACTGTAAACAATCCTACTTTGACAGTTCTCATTGCATATCAAAGTTTTTTGTTACTGCTTAGTTAAAATTAGCTGTTTTCAAAAATGCAAAATAATTATAGTGCTGTTGGTAAATCTTATAACTTTTGCTTTTGCATACAGTATCATAGAATAAACTTTTTTAGTTGAAACAGCTGACTAAATTCTTTAATTCCCTTTAAATATGAATACTCATTATGATTAACATGGGGAACTACAGAGCCACTGGGGAGGAGCCCGAATGGATTTTTGAGATAAGAATATGCCTATATGTTAATCGAGAATGTGAGCTACCATCATGCCAAATTTCAGTCTAATCCGTCCAGTAGCTTATGCGTGATTGAACTTCAAACAAACAAACACACAAACTTTCACATTTATAATATTAGTAAGATTAGTAAGATAAGATATTCAATAAGCGAGCCGTTTGCTTGAAGCCGCGTTTACATTGGAGTTTGGAACAAAATGTTTGAAACTTTTTGTTGATAACTCTTCTTTCTAATCCGTTTATAACAAAAGTGTACAACAAATGGTGCACTTTTTTTATAAGTTAACTTGGTAGGTAAGATACTGGTGTCTTTCTTACTGGTAAGCTTTTTCTCAGTATTTGTTATTTAAATCTTTAAATGATATACATGATGAGTTCCTGTAAATTAGATAAACATTAACTTACATTATCACGGGATCTTTAAAAGCCATTCGAACAAACCCATGAGAACGAGATTCATTCTAGCCTAAAAAGGACGCTCTACCTAGAGAGTAAAAATTAACATTTGGTAAACTAAAAGTTGGATGTACCCACACAAGGCATACCCTGGCAGTAATTTTAAAATTGTTTGTTTGACACCAAATCTGACTGGAGAGTACAGTTAATTGGTCAGACAAGCACTGATACAAATTGTATAAACTATATGTTAGCCCGTCCTACGTACGGGTGTATATAGTAGTCGATTAAAACTGAATGTAATTCAGAACATATAGTTTACACACATAAAGTTAGGTGGCAGTTTTAATAGGGACAATCATCATGTAAACTAATATCACGTGACCACCTATTTCGTTCGACCGATTATTGGTCTATATGATATGAATTTTAAATCCGATAATTTTCAAATAAAACAGCAATTGTATTGATTTTAAAAGCCTTGAAGTGAGATTGGTGGTCAATTCACACACACTGGTTTAAAGTACAGTAGCTTCTTACCACCTTTAATTGCATATTATCACTTACCGTACCTGATTTTACCTCAGTGGCCACTGAAACCTTAAGAGGATTTTGGCCTCCCATTTTATCATGAGTGATATGGCTCCGGTCAAAACCCTAATCCTATCATGCGATACTGTGTTGGTTGATTTCCCTACTTTCAACAAACCTCTTCTTTGCATACTCAAAAGTTTCTTTTTCAATCGTATCTTCTTAGCATCCAAACTCGCATTCGTAAAGCATTGCTGGCTCAACACCCTTTGTTCATCGTCATCAAATGCTTCCCAGTCATGCCTCTATTGGCTCTGGTCTGTCCTGCTTATTTCGCGAAGACTTCTTTCATTTTTTTTGCACATTTCCTCCACACGTATTTCAAAGGTCATTCCTTTACCTACAGCCACTCCTTAATCAAGCCTGACGACTTATCAAGATTCCTGTTTAACACAACAATGGCGTTTTCCAGAATGTTTGGGACCCACTACCTTCCAATAATCAAATATTTTTTCCGGATATGAAAACATGTTTAAAACTCATACCAATAACTTCTAATGATTATTCTTGTGCATATATCATACAGAAGAATGCAGTTGCCAAATTCGAGCAATTGCAAAGTAGCCTATTATAGGTGTTATTTCAAAACGAATAACCCTAACAGTCATAAAATTTCCTATGTACAACTCTAAGATAATGTAATCAATCACTCCACTCCAGTTATCGAAACTGAAAACGAACTCACTCTGAAACGAACGCTCTTGTGTGTATCATGTGTTTACTATAAACAGCTGCAATTAATACAAATTATTCGTCTGTTTAAGTAAACAAAATCTTTTCTCCATGAGAAATATATTGGGATTTCGATGGCCTGTGGGGCAAAGTCTGAGGACTTTTATTACAGGAATTGGTGAAAGGGGGCGTCTACACAAAAAATACTTTATTTTGACACGTCGTTTGTAAAAATCCGTTCATTATTAACAGAGGAGTAGTGTTTCGTATAAATCGCCTTCACGTATTATATATAAGGATGTTTTACTGTCAGTTGACTTTTAAATTCATTGAACCTTTAACGTGTTTTGCAGCGAAACGCCAATGTTTAAACCACAAAAACAGAGTAGATCTTTTCAAGAAATCTAATAAATCCTTATAGCTCATGTTTCCAAATTCCAATTTTAGTATAACCAGCTGTTTCAATTATTAGTGTAAGTTTCAAAGTATTCATCTGTTCAAATGTAAATAAACATTTTCTCCCTAAGAATAACATGGGAACTTTAAGGCCACTGGGGCAGAGCCCTGATGGAATTTTAAACATTTTTTGATAGATGGCAAATCTGCGTGCCACGACCTATGCAACGACACCTTAAACGTGGTGATC